GGCATACACCCAGCAATATGTGGCTGACAACACTACATGTGTACATGCAAAACGACAGCTATTAATCAGGTCCAGCACACCACTACTTGCGCTGTCGATGTTGGCAGCTTTCGCAATCTCGGTGTTGTAAGTGTCGAATGCTCTGAGCACATCTCCATTCAGGGGGCTGGACCGGGCCTGTCGCTGGAGCTGGCCGACATCGAGGATCGAGGTCATCATGTCGGCCGACGGTCGCGCTCGCACCGACAGGCGTTGCTCCACTGTCGCTTCGGTCTCATCCACCACTTCCTCTTCCACCGTCACCCAAAACTTCGTCTCGGGCAAGCAGCCCGGGGCATCGACGTCTTCAACACCCCCGCCACGGCTGATGATGGACTCGACCTTCTGCCTTGAATGGCTGATCAAGACATGAAATCATTATACAGGCACCGATCATTCCAGCCAGCCACCGGGAGAAACTGTATCTAGGAGCACATTGGTACGTTGATCAAAACATCCAGTCATTGCAGAATCACACTAGAAACAGGAAGAATGACACGCCGACCATTCCAGCAGGCACTGCGAGAATTGTAGGCTTGTAGGAGCACATATTGGTTGATGAGAAGTAACGAATCACTGCAGAAACACAAGCTAGCCACCAAGAAAATGACAACGATTCCACCAAGGCACTTCGAAAAGTGATACGGTGCATTGAGCATGTCTTTGACAGCCACGAGTCGCCGCCTGCGGCGCCCCGTGGCTGTGTTCTTCCTCGAAGCAGTCACCTGGGCCTCGCAAGCCTGAAGGTTCTCCCCTGAGGAGATCCAGCGGCGGAGGAGCTCGCCTCGCTCCTAATTTGTCAATGGTCTTTGAAAGCATTGCGATCTCGTGATCCTGTACACATATACGATATAGGCCCGCCGGACCCACAACACACAACCATCCTAAAGGTAACAAGGAATAAATGGTCGAAACTTAACTGAGGTTGATTGCGCGAGAAGCTTTCATCGTTCCATCGGCCAGCAACGACATGTTCGGGCAGCGCTCGGCCACG